CTTTTTATGTTTGATGAACAATATCACTACCATATACTAACTTCTCATGACAGTACGTAAAACATAATGTGAGATAACTTCAAATTTATAGTAAAATTATGATTAGACGTACAGTTAACTAATTTCATAAGAATAATAACTATTTGCAAAATCGTATCTTAACATATATGAAAGTAAGATTAAAATAAGTTGGGGACACCGATATTAACTCTTATTCTCGTTCACAACATATCCACAAGAATTTCCTTTTCCGCGGAAAACTACGTAGGAAGGGAACAATTCTGCAGAACACTGATAGAATGAATGTCCGGATAAGCTTTTGTAAATGATAATAAATATAGATACGTGTTTTGAAACACATTTATATAATGAAGCAGCATAGATACAATCAAAAATATATACAAAGAAAATCTCTCTTATGAATGACGTCTTCCTCGGAATCATTCATCTATCTTTATACATAATCATAGATATTCTGATCAAAGTGAAAAATAATATATAGTCTAAAATTTCGGATAAAAGGAGAGAAAAAATGAATTAACTAATATTTCTTTTTATTAGAGATTACGGCACATGTTTAACAACTAATTTTCTTTTAATTATGCATGACACCCTCAAGTCGACATAAAATGTTTCTTTTGTGCATCCAATATACATCAGTTTCTAGTGAAGGAATAATACCGTAGGCACTTAGTTGGAAAGTACAAGCATTCTTTTCTTTGGTAAAAGCCACCACTTTTTAAAAGAAAATTGAAATAGCAAAAAATAAGTATCAAAAAAACAGTTAACAAAAACCAAACTTACGATAATTTTAAAGGAAGGTTCTTGATAATGATGCAGTTTTCTTTATACAATATATTCACTAAGAGAAAAATAAGCGTAGGAGTGAATGAAAAAAAAAACGAAAAAAAGATCAATCATTATCATTGATTAACAAAAAAAAAGGAAAAGAACCTTCTCGCTAATTTTATATTATTATGTATTATGTTCATTCATCTACATTTATTGAATATAGAATAAGATATACATAATTAATAGATATCATAGTTGACAAATGTACTTTAATTAGAATATATTTTCTAAGGAAATAATAAATATCTCATAAGAAAAAAAATGTTCAATCATTGAGAGAAACTCCTTGATTTTCAAGACAATAGTTATCAAATCACATTAATAGATTATATTATCGAAAGAAGAATGCTTGACATTGATAAATATAATCTGTCATTTAATATTAAAATGTAATTTTCAGTATGGAATTATTCAGTGATATTAACAAAGAAAAAAAGAGACAATCGTATTATATTCATTTATTCCGAAATAATAATTAACAATAATAAGAACAAAAAACTTGAACTATAATATAATCATGATCGAAGATAGATAAGTCATCAACATGTGAGCTGTTTGTTGATCGGGTGTATGAATGCATTTCTCCTTATTTTCATAATAATTATATCACCATTCTCCTTTTAGAAAGATAAGTCGATTTCTAAAAATATACATTGTTATTCAATGTAGAATGAAATATTCTGATGTAATGAGAAAAGTTTATGCATCATGTTTTCGATCTTTTTAAGTTATTTATTATAATATCATTTGAAATTAAATTTATTATAATGAATGACTTTTACTTGCTGAAAAGCATTTATTTGAACTTAATTTTTTTCCGGCCTACAATCTGTGTCTATTAATAAAGACTTTATTATTATATATTTAGAAGAACTTAATTGAAAGTTTTTAATATGAAATCATTCAAATGAAAACAAATATATAATAGGAAACGATTCTCTACGTCATTGAAAGTCTCAATAAAAATCGTATTATATTTCTCATATATTATCATGTTATAAATGATATATAAAACTCATCGTCTGATGACTTTGATTAAAATGTTTATTTGACTCTACAAATATTTTTTGAAATGATAATTTTATAAAACCAAATCTATATACGAACATCTATGAATTATTTTATGTTGATCAATACATAGATACAAAGGCACTCAAAATTATTCATGTAGCTGACAAATCATCTTGTTATTCTAATATCTCTACAATAATTCGACTTTTCAAGTTCTGGCTTTCACAGAAATGTAGCTGAGGTTTTCTAGTATATTTTCAAAAATTTTCATCCTAGATTAACTCAATATTTGATATTCTTAAGCTAAAATATCAAAATAGTATAGTTTCCGCTCCGCTCATAACTATCGTACATCTTACCTCTTACACTTTTTGTGCACATTTGTACACTCTATACATTCTTTATCTTATTTATATGCTGTAGTTAGCCGGCTACAAATGATGACGATTCCCTCCTCTTTTTTGATCTTTTACAAACCTCGTTCGTTGTTTCATACTCGAAATCTGTAATTGTTCTTTTCTGCAGAGCTTGAAAGAAAGGATGATAGAGTAACACAATTCCACTCTTCTTTGTTATCGCATGTCCATTGTTGGAAGATTATCTGAAAAAAAACGATTAACATTCGATTGTCTTCACTTCAATCAAAGATATATACGATATTATTGAGCAAAATTTATGAACATTTTAATGAAATAGCTAAGCTAAAAATGACGAATTTTGTTTGATCCTTTCTGGTTTGCTCTTCAATATAATTATTTGATTCTTGACAAAGTGACCTAGAGTACCTAAAAACGAAGAATATTCAGAAGACTTTCAAACATTGATATTTAATCACGATTTAAATGGAGATTCACTAGGTGAAATTGCGAAGCACATATCCTACGAACAACGGTGCAGTATATTGTGAAAAAAATGGAAAATTTACATGTATGAAAAAAAATCTTTCCTGTTCGTAAAAGAAAGCGAACTAACAAGGGAAGGTCACCAACTGTCTCAATCGCTTTTGCTTTGAGACTATATTCAGTATGTAGGTACAAATGAACTATGAATACTCTAAAAGAAAAGTTCGGGCAACTAGCTTATTACTACAGAGATACTGCATTTTTATGGTAAGTTATTAAATGAATGCCATGATGTCTCTCAGGAACACCAGAAAAAATGATTTTTGAATTTCGACTTGAAACTTGACATAGAAACAGGCCTTACCGAGAATAGTTTTTTGTGAACGTTTCAGATCTTCTGGCTTGTCTCTATCCGTAGATACAACTGTGGTAACTTCATTCGGATAAACAAGAAGTTTTGATATTCTCATTTCAGGGTAGGAACAAATCAAAAGACCTGAAACTTTCAGAAAAAAATTATTCTCGGTAGGGCCTGTCTCTATGTTAAGTTTCAAGTTGACATTCGAAAATCATTTTTCCTGCTGTTTCTGAGGAGGATCACAGCATTCATTTAAAAACATACCGTAAAAGTACAGTATTTCCGTAGCAATAAGCTAGCTGTTCGAAGTTTGTTCAGGATATTCATAGCTCATTAGTACCTATATAATGCACATAGCCTCAACACAAAAATGATTGAATAGTTGGTGACCTTTCCTCGCAAGACAGAAAAACTGAACGGCATCATACGAGAGCATTGATTTCTCAACGAGGAAAATCGTCTGTATCATGTAAGGCTGAAATGGGATATCAATTAGGAGTAGCAATACCTACAACAATGACAGAACACGGAATGAGTGATGTTAGTTATTCAGGACGGATCACACGAAAAAACCTTTACTGAGCTATATTAATACAGTAAGAGATTTCAACTATGCAGTAACATAGGTTGAAAAGAATTATCACTTTTGAGAAAAAATGATTTTGTCTGATGAAACCAAAGTTAACTTATTTGAGTGTAGTTCCAAAGTCATAGTTTGAAGAAAAGTTAACGAAGAATACAATCAAGATTATATTTTACCAACAGTTAAATATCATGAGGATTATGTGAAAATGTGAAGCTACTTCAGTGGAAAGGAACAGACAATCTGGTTTTATCGATGAGACTTTAGCAGGTGAAAAATGAGATTATGATCCAATTTCATATTTCAACATGATAATGATCCAAAACATCAAGTCCAACTTGTATCAGATTGGTTAGATAAAAAAAAACACATAAGACATGCCATTAAGTCCTGATCTCAACCCTGTTGAACATTTATGAAGTGAACTTGATCGATAAATTCGAAAACTTACATCGTCGAAAATTGAATATGAGCCGAAACATATATTCTGGCAGAAGTACTTAGAAACCGTATTGAAGACGTTTTAACTAAAGAATTAATTAATTTAGTTGAGAGTCATTTACAAACATGCATAAGCCAACTTACCTTTCCAACTCAATATTAATAGAATTATACAAGAAGAAAAAGATGAAAAAAATAAAAATTCATCATTTATATTTTCACTTTTGACATTACAAGAAGACATAATACTATTATTGCTTATATTCAACTATGCTCAGTAGAAAGATTTATGTGCAATTGTTGAGAAGTTTCAATGTGAAATTATGCCAATTTCGTTCTTTTAATGAAGCTGACATCGTTTTCTTATATGAAAGGTGAGGTTTAAGAATAATTTCGAGCGTAGTGAAAACTCTATAATTTTAATACTTCAGTTTAAAAATATCAAATATTCAGTTAATCAAGGATGAAGCCTTTTTGCAAATATACTAGAGAACTACCTACAGCTACACTTTTGTGAAAACCAGAACTTGAAAGGTCGAATTATTACAGAGATATTAGAATGGCAAGGTTATTTGTCAACGGTACGAAATAATTTTGAGCACCTTTGTATACATATGATGACATGAAATAATACTTTGATTGCGATATACTAGGTTGGAAAAAATATTTTGATAGGGGGGTACCGCTATATTCCCAAATAGAATTAATAATGAATTTTATACCAAATGAAAGCCCGTGAAAACTGGGGTTTATTGGTACTAAACAATAGGGGTTATGGAAACTTTCGTATGTTGAAATATAGAAACTTAGGAATTTCCACTGATCATAAGTGTGAGAAAAGTTATTGATGAGATAAAGTTCGAACTAAATGTGATACAAAATTCTTTATTTTTTCATTGTTTAATGAAAACAATCAATAATCAGTGTGACGACCGTTAGCGTTCTTTACTGCACGTAGTCGAGATTGATACGAACATAGAAGAGTTTCAAATAAATCAGTGTCGGTTTTCATGTTTTTCAAAACATCTGAAATGTGCATTTTGAGTGTTTCTTCAAGATAACGAGAATGCCCAGGTTCTGATAAGATCTTTTTTTCAACTTCATCCTTGATTATTGTTCCAATATGTTCTGCCACATTGAGATCGGGTGAATTTTCAGGCCAAATATCATTACCCCAAAATTTAACATCATTGTCTTGCAGCAAATGGTGAGTCTGATATGCTCGCATACATGGTGCTTTGTCACAGACAAATATAACTTCATCGGGATCGATAACATTTTCTTCATTTTTTAAGAATGGAAAGACGTGTTCAGTCAAAATTATATCACGAAAATATTGACCAGTCCAAGATTCACCTATATCTTTAATCACCCAGTGTAACCTCTTAGCAGTAAATATCACAAAAATTCCAATGCATATGCTTGATTTTTAATCATTTCACGATAGCGTTTATCTTCTTCAATGTCGCCAACACTTTTTGCCCAAATTCGGTCGTTCTGATAATTTGGTCGACGAACAACCCAGACAAAAAATTCATCAGATGGTGCGAAATGAAGAAAATCCTCTTCAGTCCAATCTTTTAACCAATTCCAGAGCCATAATCGATTTGGTATGTGAGTTTCAGATTTTAGCGGGTTTGGAATAACATGAAATGGTTTTAATCCTTCTCTATGACGGTAATTATTAATTGTTCTTCGAGTGACATACTCTTGTTGCTTTTCTGCAATCTACTTCGCCACAACAGAACAACTTTTTCTTTGTCGACCACTCGCTTTAAGAATGATGTCTTGACTTGCTTGTGATAATTTAAGCTTTCGACCGGCATTTGAATAATCAGCAAAACATTGGTCATATGGTTTTTCCTACCAATCTGTGACAAATTGAACCGAACGATGAACTTTCTTCGCAACCCAATGTCGATTAGTAAATGGTGCGCCAGCATCTCGAGCTTCACGAAAAACAATGCATTTAATTCTATCAATAATTCTTTGCTCTTCAGTATCATAAGTACCAGCCATTTATAATGATTAGATTTAATTGATGCATCGAAAGGATAGATTTTTTATGAAAGATATTGATCAGAAAATGACCTTATATATTGCTTCATAAACTTCTCGAACTTTCCTGTTCTCTAACTTTCTAAGACAAGAAAAATAAAAAAGTCTTTTTTCTTCACCGTCATCACAAGTAATAGACAACAGAACGCATTAGGAAAATTGCACCTTCTTAATCATACTAACATCCTATTATCACTAGAACAGTGCTCTTTTTAATTTTTCCAAAAACTATTTTCTTTTTTCTTTGCCTTACAACCCGCTAAAAATGAATTATAATGATTGCATTATGCAAAATTCTTTAAACTTCGACACTTTCCACGTACGAAGGTTTCTATAACCCTTATTGTTTAGTATCAATAAACCCCATTTTTCACGGGCTTTCATTTGGTATAAAATTCATTATTAACTCTATTTGAAAATATAGCGGTACCCCCCTATCAAAATATTTTTTCCAACCTAGTATGTGTAGGGTGCAGAATACGAAGTTCGTATACAACCGTATCTCATCCTATATGACCATATTTTGACAATTTTCATAGTTCAGTATTACGACTCAGATATTCGTGAGGGTATAAGAAGCAATAAGATCACTATACATAGAGAAACACAAAACAAAACTGAAACCATATATGATATCCGTGTACGAAGATATTAAGCAAGCGTTTTTGTCTCCTTTAATCATTGTACCTCTTTGTTTTCAACACGTAGATGTGCCATTGCGTGCTCTATCATGTAAAATGTCGCACCTCTAAAAGTGTGATCGTTTATGATCGTACTCGTTCAATCCGCTTACTTGACAATTATGTGAGAAAATCGCTTTTCAAAGCACTTTGTTGATGAAGAGATCTGAGTAGAGCAATGGTGTAATGCACTGTTTGCTGCTCTACGACTTTCTGAAGATGATTGTCAAACTATCAATAATTTTCACTTACAGAAATCAGAAAAAAGCAATAAAATAAAGTTTTAGTCATTTTTATTAAAAGTCTCAGAACAACATTAATTAATTTTTGATAGAGACATAAAATGAATTGAAATACAAATGAATATTAAGAATATTTTATTTCCATGAAATAAAAAGTAATGATAAAGCTGTCCAAAGTGACATTTTTCGACAGAATATCAAGGTTTTTTCTCAATGCTACTGTCTCATTTCGATAAAAAAAATTTCATAAATATTCTTCTTTCTTTCATCTCATTAATTTATTACAAAATAAAACTTTCGATCTCATGAAAAGAAAAACTGGTGTCCTTTAGAGAAAATCGTAGACATTAGTTCGTGTAGTTGTCAAATCAATTCTATAGATAGTACTGCTTCAATCATTATGACAATCATCTGTATCTAATAATAGAAGTTATTTTGTCATTTACTAAGAATACATTACAGAAATCATGCCAAGAGATAAATACAATTTGGTATATTATGACACGATTAGAATCAATTCTTTAATATTATATCAGAACGAAAACAAAACACAGATTAATGCAATTTAATTTTCCATGATAATGATAGAATACTAAAGAAATTATAACAGAGTTCTAGATATACAATTGTACTGAAACTTTAGTTTACTTTTTGAAAAGTATACCGTAGAATCTCGTGAATAGAATTCAAAAAAATTCTTCTTAATTTTTCGCAACACCAAACAATAAATATTATTCGATTAATTAAATTTTAATGCTACTTATTTTTTCTAGTCAAATTTCTATCAAATACTATTAAATATTTCGTCTACATCTTTATTATTAGTTTTTTATTATTATCATGATTATTAAAATTCGCTCCTTCATCAATAAAATTCTTCTTTCCGTCAAATAATAGAATGTCTAATAAACACACACATATAAATGTACACATTTATACTATGTACACATACACTATGAAGAAACAAGAAGGAATGTTCACCGTATGCTTTCATTACGCGCATAAATAACTTTCATTGTATTCCGTTTTCTTTTAGTGTTACTTCTCAAAAAAAAAATGAACATAAGCTTTTTGGTTTTCATTTGTCGCATTATAAAAAGAAAGAAAATTTGCGACAAACATTGGGTTTCATCTCCCGAACGGAATACAAAGACACACAGTGACATGAATAGTACAAGCGCACTAGACAGTGTTGAAAGACAATTAACAAAGAAATAACGTTTCTCTCAAATTTTCTTGCACATACAAAAAAACTCAGATAATATAAAAAAAAAGAAGAAAAAGAGAAAATCCTGTCATGTGTATATATAAATATGCACCAATAAGTATATTTCATGTACATATCTTAACACACACATGTTCTACAACTAAATACATTATTCATAGGTGTAGAGGAGAAAAAAAAAAAGAGAAGCAGAAATTTTTCAAACTAAGTATTATTAGGTGTAGAAACAAAAAGCAGAACAGGAAATGAAACGCATTGTGATCACCGGGTTGCAATCGCAGATAAACTTTTAAAAGAAAAAAAAAAAAAAAAAGGAACAACTATTTAATTTGTCTTTTTTTCTATTGCTTCTTCGTCTGTGTTTTCATCTTCTTCAACTACAGGATCATCTTCATTAAATACATTGATCGTTGGTACAAGTTGTGTTGTTGTTGATGGTGGAGGTGGTGATACTGATAGTTGAGTTTTAGTTGGACGTATAACGATATAATTAAGTAAATCCGATAATGAAAGTACACCAATAACATGTTCATCATTATCAACAACAACTAAACGGTGTACTTCAGCTTTAACAATGCGTTCCATACATGCTGCTAATGTTTCATTTTTATAACATTTAGCAACAGTTTCCAGACGTTCTTTACGATATGACAATGCTTCTTTAATTGTCATATTTAAATTTGTATATGTTTTATCTGCTGCTAAACCCTATAAAATTTCATTGAAAACAAAAAGACAATAATAATAATTTGTATAAAAGCAACGAAAAAAAAGTCGATATTTTACTTACAATAACATCAAATTTTGAATAAATATTCACTAATTTTCGTTGACTATCGACAATAGGTAAAGCTGATATACGATATTTAACAAATTGATTAAGTGCTTCAATTACTGTTGTATTTTCATCAATCTATTTTCAATATAAATACAACACATATACTCAAGTCAAACAATCAGATGGTAAAATCTGACATGATTGTACCTCATATCTCGTAAGACCAAGCAAAAACCATAATCTCATAAATCTTACATTAAATCGTATTATAAGATTTTTCCTATGTTATAAGATATCACAATAAGATCATAGGAAATCTTACGTGACTATAAGATCTTATAAGAAGCTTCGAGTACGATTAAGTGTAAGACAATGATTTCTTTTTTGTATGATTGAATCTAATCTTACAAGACCTTATGTCTGATTTTTTGACCTGAGTAAAAAGAAAAAAAGTTAAAACTTACAATATGCATATTATGATATGTTCCAAGATTAAGTTCTTCCAATGTTTTACACAAATATGTTGGTTGTGGCCAATCATAAATCTATCAACAACAAAGATAAGAAATTATTTGAATAATTTTAATTTATTACTAAGGTTTCATAGAAAATCAAAACCTTGAATTTATCTTAAATAAATAGATTTTTGTTTTTTGTCAACACTTACATATAAATATAAGAATCGTAAAATACGCTTATGTGTTAAAATAAATATAACGTTATGTGATATTGGATCAACAATAGGTAAACGATGTACATGATTTTCTACTAAAGTACGAACGGCTTCAAATAAACTAAAATGCACAAAAAAAACATTAGAGTTTATTCATTTTTTTCTTGTATTTTGTATAAATTACCTATCAGTTGGTTTAATAGATAATAATGGTTTTTCATATTCACGTAAAACTTCTCTCCATGTTTCAATTCTATGTTCTTCGAGTTCTTCAATTTTAGCATTTGGTTCTTTATAATATTTTTGTAAGATAAGAATAAAATCTGTTATTGTTAACATAGCAGTAAATCTTTGTCGTTTTGTATCCCATATAGGAGCAGCTCGTACACCATTATGAACAAGTGCATAGAATGCCTTTTTTACGGCTAATTGTGTATCAAATACAACAAGTTTAGAACTTTTTGGCATTATATCATAACATGTATGAGTTCTCATAAATTGGGTATAAATTTCATCATCACTTACTATTAAAATAAAAAGAAGTCAATTAATTATTTAATAATTTAAATATCTTACTAAATGTATCATCAATATCTTGAGTGGATGAACTTGACTGAAAAGAAAATTAAAAAAAGAAAAAAAAAAAATTTTCTTTTTTTATATAAATTAATATAAATACGAACTGTTGGACGTATACAATATACTGATGGTTGATCAGATGAACTATTTTTGGCTATTATTGTTGTTTGACCAGAGTGTGTTTTGCCAAGACGAGTTGAACCAGTTAAATTATTTGGACTTTGAGCACCTATGTACATATATACATATATATGCATTTTTTTGTATTCAATATAATTATATTATTTTTTTCTTACCACTTCGTTTTGGATCTTGAAAGAGTGACTATAATTATGCAAAAAATATAAGATATGAATGACATATTATGAATTTTCAAGTAGACAAAATAAAAGTGAATAATAAGTGGTAAATAAGTAAGTAAGCAAGCAAGCAAGCAAAGCAGCATGAAATTAAAAATTTTTTTTTTTTGTTCCTCATTTATGAACATCATTTCTCTTCTCTTAGTCTATTCTATGTCATGTTGGATCTGTGCCAACAATAAACGATTATTGAATCCTACGATACGACAGCCAAACAACAATGAATGGAGGGAGAGAGTGAAGGAAGGAGAGAAAAGAAAAGAATGTTATGCCAAAAAAAGATCGATAAACATTAACCCCTTATAACAAAATGACATACCAGTAATTGGCTTGTTCCTCCGCTAGTTGTTGTACTTTGTTTACTTTGCTGTTGAAGTCGACCAAGTGCTGCTTGCAATCGTAGACCATCATTACCTTTCGACATA